GATTCTGCTTCCGACTCCTTCGGACACACCAGCCTTCGCATCCTGAACAAACATTTTCATTTTTATTTTTCCTGACTTTGACAACCCTGTAGAACATCATTAGCAGATCCCTGTTTCCCTAACCATTGTTCCCCGTACCCACTAGAACATCAATAGACATCCCCTGTTCCCCTGACCATTGTTTCCCTTACCCACTACAACATCAATAGAAATACCTTGTTTTCCTGAASACCGTTTCCCTTACCCAGTAGAACATCAATAGAAGTTCCCTGTTCCCTGAACTCTGTTCCCCCTTAACCTATAGCGAACCATGCAGTCCCCTTAGTTCATCAGTAGGACTACCCTGTTCCTTGCAAACCCCCCTAGTTCATCAGTAGGACAACTCTGTTCACCAGTACCAAACCCTGTTCCTTCTTACTCCCGCAGCCCATGCCACCCACATTAGACCCCTCTTCCCTTTCGACTTGTTAACCAGTGATCGGCCCCGTCCCGTCCTTCATAGATTTCAGCATTGCTTCATGATTTTTGGCAGTCGGGACGTTGCCTTCTAGAGGGAGGGGATAGTGTTACGGACTTCGCCAGGGCTCGATCCCTGGTCTATCTTTTTGTTGTTTCAATTGCATCCCATTTTCGGCCTGGCGCCCTTTTTCCAAACTCCTCCTTTGGTACCGTAGGACATCGGACAACTAGCGCCATGCTGCAATTCGGGCGCCACTTTCAAATACTGCATTTTTCAGTTCTGCCCTCGGGGGCCTTTGTAGAAATGCCCCTGGTATCGTACGTGTCACCGGTACTTATACCGGCCCCCCGTACGGTACAGGGGCAGTCTCGTACTTGTTCTCTGCGGCTGTACTCGTACTCAGTGTGACTTGCTGTTTCGGCATTCGGAATCCAAGACTTCGACTTTGTGCCTTGCCACTGTGTCTGCGTCCGACCCTCAGTCCGAGTCCGTCATGTCGAGTGAGTGAGTGTGTGTGTGKGCTCTCACTCTCTCCCTCTCTCTCCTCTCCTTCGGCCCACCCTCAGCCTCACGCTCGTTACAACGCGAGCATTCATGCAATTGCATACGTAGCCGTGTTCCACATCGCATGCTGCAACATGAAGGGGGATCTGGTTGTGCGGGCAGTGTTTGTATAGGGGATCGAGCCCTGGTATGGGCTATGCATATCCTGGCTACGATGGGGGTGTGCGAGCAATGGTTCCAATTCCATATGCAGAACGGCGCGAAGCAGGGGAAGGAGTGCTTTTCGGAAGGATGTATGCGGCAGTAATCAGGGAAAGCATGCATTTTCGGAGGCATAGCTGTAGCAGTAGCCATGTAGGTGCAGTATGGTAAGTGGGTCTGTAGCTGCGTTAACTATTCTTCAGTAGTGTGCGCTGTAGGGGGTGACTTGCAGAAAGCGGGCTCTGGTCCTTGCCTCGTGGCGCGCGAACATTAGTATAGGACAGGG